GATTACGTACTGCGTCGCTTGGGTCGGAAAGAAACGACTGTCTGGTAACAATCTCTATACCCGACTTCTTGCAATGTGCCTCTAAATCATCAACCGTCTAAAACAAAATTAAATTAGTTTTTATGAACGCTCATTTGTTTTTAAACGACTTCGAAAGTAGGATGTTTTTGATCCGATTTACTTGATTTTTAGTTTGATGCGCAATAATTGCAATTTGGTCCCATTTCTTTTTAAATTTAAAACTATCGAGTAGTTTTTAAGGTTTTCTTATAAATGTCTACCAACATTTCGTTAATAATTTGTTTAGCCTTGTCTGTGTAACATAAATATACGAACATATGTAAATTTTAATTGCCTCTGTTTGTTTATTAGAGTTTCATAAATAAATTTTGACACAGCTGGGTAGCGAACCCTAGACGAGCTTAGTAACCGATCATTTTAACCGCAACCCTAAGGGGTCTTGTAAAAGCTTTATAAATGTTTTGAGCTTTAATAAGATAAAGTTATTTAATTAAATGAAAATTTTGAACTTCGTTAAAAGTTTAAAATGAGTAATGGGATTTGCAAAAAGAAAATAAATTCTAATCTTAATTGGTCCAATAAAATTAATTAAAGTAAATGTTACGTTATTCTTTAATTTGATAATTTCGGTAAGATGTAAAGATGGGAGTATGGGGTAACACGAATGGATAAGATACGAAATGTGTATATTAGAGGAATTTTAAGAGTAGCCCCAGTGGTAGAGAAAGTAAGGAGTAAAAGCATGGTTTGGTCATGTTATGAGAAGGGATGCATCGCATATTACAAGGAGAACGTTAGTTATGAGTGTGGAGAGATACATCGGTAGAGGTAGATCTAGGAAGAGATTGATGGATTGCGTAAAAGGTGACATGATCAAAAAGGGAGTGATGACTGAGATGACGTATGAGAGAGTTATTTGGAAGACAAGAACCTGTTGTGCCGACCCTAGGGGAGTAGGATAAAGAAGATGATGATGGTGATGTTTACAAAAACAATAGACTAGCGTTAAATTACAATAGTATGTTGTTTAAAAGACTGACCAACAATAACATCCCATTTTAGCTGAATAGAAATCGGATAAGCAAAATGTAGAGGCTAGAACTATATAGTGTCATATAAAATAATGAAAAGACCCATTTCCACCAACGCATTAATAAAATGTACGAGTCGTTAAATAAAAGTATACGGCAATATAAAATATAATAATGGTAAAACAGGATTTGAAATAGACGTATTAGCTACATTGTGCACAGTAGCGTCATTGTTACGTCCCGTAAGAGCCTATTCATGTAACATAACTGTGGATTTTCATTGTTGTAACACTTGTATCAATACATATGGGTATCTCGCTTATCTTTTTTTTAATAAACAGAGAAATCAGTATGTTAAAAATATTCAACAATGGAATTTGCACTACGTAATTTACTGAAAAAATATCTATTACACAATAAGGTACCTAGTATTATCATAAAGTATTCGCTTTCTCTAAAATAATAAGGTTTTTGATGCTTATTGCGATTTTCGCTATATCCAGTTGAAGTAAAATTATTTTCAGGCCTTCGTGATAATGAAAATTCTTACTTTGGTAAGAACCTATTTTAGAGTTTCATCTGGTTCTGCCAGCTTCGTAGTATTTTCAACATTTTCATATATGTACGTAATTTAAATGAGAAGCTTATAATTTGTCACGTACCGTAATATTGTAATGTCAATTTAGTCCTAAATTAAATATTCGTATATTAACTGAGCAGGACAGTTAGTGAATTAAGTTTTTTAAAGAACGTCGTTGTATCAAAATAAATAAGTACAACTTACCGATATGAAAACTTCTTCAGCCTGTTGTAGTATAGCGATTCGGGACCAGCCGAATTTCTGCATTAGTTTTATTCTAGTAGGGTTATGCACTGTAGCCGAGGGATGAGTCCGAAATAGCGTCGGAAATCTCGCACGGTCTGATAACGCCGGTGATGATGCCCCATAACATAGCTAGATAAACAAACAATAACCTTTTAGTGATTGTTAGAGTGGGTATTAAAAAAAAAAAGCTTGCTCTCAGTGATATAACAGTAGGGTTGTATACGTATCCTCTTCATATTTGAAAACTGTACAGTGGCGGAAATCTGCAGTGTTCCACTTTTGGGAAAAATTTCCTTGGTCAACGAGACAAACTCCGCCTCTTCTTACAAATAACTAATAAGATGAGATAAATAGCGAGTAGTTCAACCGAAGAGGTAATAAAAAGAAACAAGCCTTGTATTAACCGACTTTTTTTTTCGTACAGACACATTTATAAGCTGCTTTGTATTGTATTTTGTTTCAAAATATTCGAGCGACTATAGCTTTGAGGGACACCACCAGTTACCCTGATTGTACAAATATGTTCTGGTAGATACATTTTAAACTAGAATTTTTACTTTTCTTATATGGGTTATAAAAATAAGTCGAAAGTTTAAGTAATTAATATTGCTATGGCGAGGAAACTGTAAACATTAGGTAATGTAATACGTACGACCATTAGGTTCCACATCTTTGCGGCTTCGGCGACCGTAGTGCAAACTGTAGAACAACCAGCTAACAGCAACAACTTTTGCGGTGGATTGTATAACAAGTTGTACATTACACTTGCACCAAGCCCTGGTTCACACTGACGATGAAAACATTGATGTAAGAATTCAACTATTATTTTATATCAATATTTACATTTTATTCTAATAGAAAAAAGCAGATAGCTTAATGGCTGACATGCAGCATTTAAAAATATATAGACGGGACACAATGAACAAAAATTTTACAACTGTACTTTCTCTGAAAGGTACAATGTCAGACGTCAAGTTTAGTACGTATCCTCGTGTCTTTGTATTGCCATGTTATAAAACATTTTACAAAATTATAAGCATTAAAAACAGTGTTATAAAGTGAAACATAAACACTTAAAATTTATTTAATGATATTTATTAGCAATTAATTATATTGACATGTGGTTTTGAGGCTAACAATAAATAGCGTTAGTGATCATGAGAAAATGTCTCTAGTGAATTGTCAACTATGCCACTTCTTTATTTTTTTTATATTTCTTTGCTGCCATGTAAGCAATTTTAAGTTCATTTGTTTATATAATTTGTCCAAAAATTTAAATGAAATGTACATTTTTTAAGTATACCTAACATTCATTATACTTAATATCGGCTACCTCTTTAATCATATTGAACAGTAACTTGAAACGTCACTCCAATGACGTCACGGCGACGTGTTCATACAGTGTGCAAAATAATTTATCTCATGAAATAATCTGATAAGACAAATGAACACAGCGTCATCGGCTATACGTTGGCGTACGTGGGAAGATATGACATACTTAAGCATACACGAGATAAGTGACTTTAAGTTTATTTTTGCTTACCTTACTATCATTGCTGTGTAGTAGTAATTTAAATCCCGACAATAGATCAGACCGAGCGTTGACATCAGCCAGAGCCAGTTCAGCTGCTGGCATACACGCCTGTCCACCCTGCCAGCCACCCTCGCCTTCCATAGGAAATATCCCGCCGATATGTAAATCATTATCAGGCCTACCCTCGCTATACCGGTTAAACCCACCCATATACAAAAGAAGCAACATCCGAGACTTCTTTGCTCCACTCGCTCTTCTTCCACAAATCCATTTTCCTACCTTAAAAATTAAACACTTGGCAACAACGAATAATTGCACTAAAGCATTCACTAACGATTTAAGATCGCAATGCAATTTACTAGTTCGTAAACTAAGGTATTTATTCACAGTTGTTTTTAATTTGACTAGAGGACGCTTTGAATAGTGAAAGTTTACGCGCACTCTGGTGGACGATATTATTTTAGTGTACATGTGCGCGGTCGCCCATACGAACGGTAGACATAGCCTAATAAACGGTAAACTCCGTATGTAATGTGGCATCGTGTGTATAGGGGACGCTTGCCCCGAGCCAGGCCGGGTCATCGTTCGCGGCGAGGATTTGTCATTGTACACCTTTCTCATTTTCCATTCTCCGACCTGAAACAAACAACAGACTTCTGCAATTGTTTGAAAAATTCTAGCGGTATTTCCAAACCGCTACGACTTAGGGCTATGACACACTCAACGGACAGCAACATCTGCAGTTTCTCTGGTTTTGCAGATAGCTATGTAAGTTTATAATTATGTTAAGGTCTCCTGACTATCACTAGTGTTCCAAAAATTATCTCAGTTAACAATATGGGATAAGCAATAGATAGATTTTTCCCATATTCATTGATTAAAAACAACGTCGATATACTTCAAATTAAGATTCAACACATAATAGGTATTGGAAAATGAAAAAGTTCAAATCTAATTCCACATCTTTTTAAAGAACGATGGAATCGAAAAAAAAACATTCCGAGAATGCGCTACTAACAAGTCTTAATTAGGTTGGTAAAACAAAAGAACTTTATAATCAAAATTCCCGTTGCTCTAACGAGTACGTGGTTCATGACAACATAAGTTGGTAGGATCTTTAGTTTCACGTAACATGCTAGTTCTAGACAGGCTGTAATGAGCAGTTGCATCCTCCGTACACACGCCCACCTCGCATTGTTCCCGACGTGAATATTAAATGCTGTTTGCAGAGCCATCTACCGTGTAACATGTACCATCAGCTATTATACAACTTTGATTCCGCAGAGTTATCCGGCTTGCTTCGTTAAATATTCAAATGTCGAATGAATTCGAGATCAAAGGATGTTTGTTCCATCGCTTGCACAGACGTGTAATTTAATACATTGCTCTGCTTATCAACAGATGTAAGCAGAATTTTGTACTTAGCTTACATCAATCAAACAAATCTAATGTAGTTGAGATTAAATAATACTTTATGTATAATATAATTATAAAGAGAAAAGGTGTGTTTTTTTTTCATAAAATGGAGCCACTTTTCTATCAGTCAATGCTATTATTTTCACTATGTTACGTTATGTATTTATTTAAGAAAAGTAATTAACATTACCTATATTACACACAAATAAGCAATGAATGTATTTTTCATTATTCATTTCAAGTGACATTTACAAGAAAAGTGCACACAGAAATATCGTATCATGTGATAAATTCAGTAGTTATTGATCTGGCGAGTGTAAGAGCCAGTTCTGTGTCGGTCACGTAATTTTGAAGTAAAAAGAAATCTTCAGTTAATCCGATTGGCGCGATTCCAACTTCATATCTTTAGATGAGAATCTGTCTAGGTACTCATAAGTAATTGCAATATTTACTTGTTGCGAATTATTGTGTAAAAATATTTAATAAGTACAACAAGCTAAATTACGTACCCTACGGGAGTAGGATAAGAAGAAAGCTGATGATGATGATGAAACAAAATTCAATTTTCTGTTCTTGTGCTGTGTATATTTTTTAGTTACGGAACGTTATGATAGCTTTTTAGCGTTTGTTTTCAAAGCGAACTAATTAAATAAAAATTAAATAAGTACAGAGTGTTGTAAAAATAATTTATTTTTATGACTTCAAAATAACCGCCACAACTTTTGAACGTAACGCATTTTCTGGCTTCGGTTTTCGCTTTTTCTTTAATTTAGTCTTTTTTTCTTTTTCCTTAACACTTATACCCTTTCCACCGAACTCACGATGCGAACTCCACGGCATAGCTAACGCCCCAATTCCGTGTTCACGCATATCTCTTACTTTGAAACGATTCCAAGCGAAGCAACAGACCCTTATCTTATCTTTACAGCCGGGTACCTCGGTGAGGAAGCGATTACCAGTGCACAGTTTACTATCAATACAAATCCCTCCGAGGTTCCAACATGGCGTCGTCATCATTGACCCTGGAGAATAATTATTGCTAAAAATAGCTGATATCTAAGTGTAACAATTATATAGAGACAGATTTTTTAAACGATTCAGCTTTTTGATACACAACTGATACAGGAGGGTTGAATTTTTTGTACGAAAGGTTTATATAGATATGCCAATTCCATTTTAACCTCAAAACCGAAGAATGGCTGAACGAATTTTGACGAGTTATTAAAATGGTATTTTTTTCCGAATTCATAGGGATAGAACTTTTATTAACATTGTTATTAATTATTAAACACATTTACAATAAACATACTTCGAGATGAAGCAAGCGATGCTAAGGCAGTGTGGTACGCCAGTAATTCAGCTCGCAAATCTTCGTATTCCTCGTCAGCTGACAAATCCAAATTGGCATCTTCTCGTAAACCAGTTATTAGCCTCGTACCAAACTCTTCGCTACTTCTAACCTCTTTAGCATGTGGTGTTTGTTCTATTGAATTACCAAACAAGAGAACTAGAACAACTAGAAGCATTTCTAAAATTGAAACTCTAACAAATACAATCCGATATTGATATTACGCTATGTTTGATTTTATTGACGCCGTATACATAAATCTTTTGATAACTTTTATTTCGCTACGAATATAATTTTTATATTCGTAGCGAAGCGTAGTGTTAATCTAGTTTAGAAAAAAATACGTGATATTTTGATTTTATTGTGTTGGTTTTTTGCTATAAAAAACTCCATCGAATTATGGGTTAAATTGATCCATACAATGTGGGTTGTATTGAATTGTTTCAAAATATCTTCTCTTTTGTTCTTCAAAAACACAAAGATCGATATTTGTCCTGGTTTTTCGGCTATGGATACCAACTTCGTCGTAGGGATGTAATGTAACGCGTCGACATAATTAAACCTATAAATGTGACCAATGTAACCACACTTTAATAGTGTTCAATAGCAGAGTGAGGTAATTAGTGTAGAGGTGCCATGTAATGAAAAGTCGGCTAATTGACACAGCTATTTTAGCGTTACGAAATAAATGATCAACGTCAGATAAAACGCATTGCGTATGAGTTCTTAATTTAATATTTAATTATGCACATTGTGACTAAGTCTGGTTATAATTAAAATGCATTAGACAAATAGGAGGTAAAGCTAATAGTAGTAAAAAGAAACCAAATAACTTTCCGTAAAAAAACAATATTAGATTGTTGATGTACCCCTTTTGGGCCTGAAATTAGTCGTTGCCGCCATTAGAAAAATAGACTCGAGTTTGTTATATAATAATTAGTTTATTACAAACATTATTAAAATGTTTTACGAAATTTTAAACAATTTAATTGTTGACATATCGAGAAATTTATTGCTGTCAGTCTATATTGACTATTTGGATTATTTTGTTAACACTGGCCACCGACAAAGACAAATTAAAAATGTAATAAAAAGTGAAAAACGTTTGACTGTGAAAAGTTTAACGTATAATTTTTAGGTCCACGTTAATGACAGAGTTCCAGATAGACAGATAGTTCAAACATATTTACAGATGAAAAACAAATGAGGTTGTTTACAAAGGGAACTAGAAGTGTTTACATAAACTCCCGCCTGCTCCAGAAACTCGGTCGGGGTAAACAAGTAAAGTTTATATGTGGCTCAATCGATAAGACACTCTGCAATAAGAAATACAAACTCGTATATATTAATATGTTAAATTAAAAAAATAGTTATATTATTTACTAGTTGTTCTCGTGCGGCTTCATCCCCATGAAATTATGAAATTTTATTTTATTGTTTACATTTGTCAAATTATCACTAGCAAATGTCAAAATGACGTGACATGACAAACCTTAGCAATCTTTCTTTCTTGATGTTGGCAGCAACTTATGGTCTCTTTTACACATTAGGGTTTTTATCCAAAATATTTAATGGCGTGAAAATATATAGCATGACGTAAGTGTAGGGCTTTTTACAAGAAAAAGAATTATTCAAAAATTTGCTGTAATTACTGATATCTGTTTACACTTTATTGTAATGGTATAGATTATTCAAAGACCTACAACATAGGAGTTAACAATTGTCGTAATATTATGTACAACGTTTAGGCTAAGTTGGCGATAAGGCTATGGGGATGTTTGTTTAGGCAAATTATCTGTTTCCCATTTAATTATTTGACTTAACCATCCTCGTATGTTTGGCTTAAAAGTTAAGGACAATAACATTTTGATAGCTTAGATTTACTTAGGGACCTTTGAGAATTTCCTTATAAATATTACGTATATAGATAATTAAAAAAGATTACAAACAAAAATCTCTGTATCCAATTTAAATAAAGAAACATTTTTATCCTCCTAACTCGGAAAAAATGTATTTAATATTAAAATTTTCCGAGCACAGCCGGCCACCGCAAACAGTTTGAGAAAATTGTTTACTTAATACATATAGCTCATAGATGGCGCTGGTGCAAAATAAGGGTGGAGGCACACTGACACAGCTGGCACGCCGGCATTTGTTCACTTTGAAATAGGGCCAATAACTGTAAAAGTTTTCTCCCTCGCTGTATCATTTATTCAGTGGCCTCGTATTTTATTAGCTGCTATAATTGGCATATAAAACCGCTAATATTCTTTGAGAATAAATTGCTTTATTCATTAAAGGCAAGACTATTTGAATAGCTCGCTGAATTTGCTCCGATTCATGCTACGAAATGAAAAAGCGTTAATTTTTTATTACTTTTAGTTGCTTAAAATACTTTCCGTCATAATACCAGCTATAAAGCTTTTTTAAAGATTCATTTCTACTTTCTGTTTTCCTGTAAATAAATTTTGTCTTGCATAAATACTGCAACCTTTTCTTTTATTTAATGTTTTAAAAAAGAACGAAGAAATAAGTAAATTCCAATTTTTTAAATCAACGCTCAGTTGTATCTCTTCTGATAGTTCGTAATTTCTAAGAATAATTACACATTTTGAGAAGGACAAAGTAAACTTTGATAGGAGATAGCGATTTTGCAAATATTAGCTTTCAATTAAAAAAGAAATTGGCCTACCCGTTTCAGTGGCGTGTTTGCACAGACCTATCGGTAAACAAGCCAAAGGCTTCAAACTATTATTGCTTTTCGTTCGGATGAAAAGAAACTAAAAGAAGCCTCTGTAAATAGAAATTGAATCGTATAATGTTCTTTTTAAAAATAAATAGCGCTAACAAACCATACACTTTTGAGGTTTTCTTTGGAAATGTTAGATATATAACAACAAATTTCGTTTTACATAAAGGTTTAATGAAAAATGATCGTAAGTATTAAATTTGTGTATAGATACATAAGAGTACGATCAAAGTTCCAGTTACTATAATCGTTTTTTCTAATTTAAAATCAAGGAACATATTGTAATGTAATTTTCATACGTTTAGACATCAACAGTGAAGAATTTTGTTCTAAATAAAAAAAAACACATGCTGTAATTGTAAGAAGTAATTTCGCATTTCATGCCTAATATTTAATTATATTACCAGTAATATAATAAACTAGCTGTTCCCGTGCGTCTCCATCCGCATGAAACTATGAAAATTTTACTTTATCGTTTACATTTGCCAAATTATCAATTGCAAATGTTAAAATGACATGACAAACCTTGGTAATCTTGTATCCTTGATGTTGGCAACAACTTATGGTCTCTTTCCCACATTAGGGTTGTTATCCAAAATATTTACCCCCTAAGTTTAATGGCGTGAAAATATACAGCCTAAAGCATGGCTTAAGTTTAGGGCTTTTTATTAAAAAAAAAGAATTATTCAAAAATAAAAATAATTATTTCCGAATTGAGTGCCTCCTTCTTTTGGAAAGTCGGTCAAAAATATGTTTGCTGACATCTTAGGCAACAAAGAGGTGTATGTTTACGCCTTATTATAATCGTATAGATAGATAACTTATTCAAGAATATGTCATCACAAATGTCTATATTTTAGTGCAAAAAGTTTGAACAGTCGTCAATATCATTGAAGGTCAAAGATGGCAGACTTCGCTTCAAGTATCGACAGGGGCGACACAAATCGATGTAACACAAGTATGGCTTGTTCTTGGCCCAATTTCCATGCAATCACGTCAATGTTTTTTATGAGCGGTATAAAGTATGGCGCGCCGAGTCATTTTCCAAATAGCTTACACTTCGAAGGTCAATGCTGGTTACATGTCTGAACTTGTGGTTGATAGACAAACACTCTGATACGACTCATTAAATTAAACAAAAAGTACTGATTGAAATTCTAAAAATAGATTGAAATGTTCTTCCTCGATATCCTAAAGTATCGTAAATTATATGCTGCCGCGATTTATAGGCGTATTGATGTTATTTTTTCCTTCCATATAATATAAGAAAAATAATGATATCATTCTGTAAGTTTATACATTGGATATACCAAAATATGATCTATGAATCTCAGGTCGGAATTCCATATAAGCGAATTACATTACTTTTCGATGGAAAATGTATTCAGGTCAAAATCGAAAGGCTTTTACCACGCAAATGTCTGCGAGTATGACTCCCGCGATAAAAGCTGATGTAATACAATTATGACTTATTCTTGACCCAATTTCCTTGTCACGACAGTTTTTTACGAGTCGGCTAGAGTCGTGACGAAAGTAAAAGTAACTACATTTTCCAAGTAACATTCACGAAGGTCAGTTACATTAAGCATCAAGTTTTTCACATCACAGGTCAAATTAAGGTCATTTTTAACTCATTAGAAAGTTAATGATATCAGAGATCATTTTTGTTGTCATTATATTCAACTTTATAACTAACTGTTGCTCGCGACTTTGTCCACGTGAAATTATGGATAAATTATAAGTAGCCTATGTTACTGAGAGATAACATAGCTTTTTAATGGTGAAAGAATTTTTGAAATTGGCTTAGTAGTTTTTGAGTTATTTCAATATATACAATAAAAAAAATACAAATCTTTCCTCTTAACAAAAATATAGTATAGATTTTGGTTTCTATAGTATTTTACCTTAATAGCAAACATTGCCCAAAACCTAAATTAAAACACATAAACAGCTTAATTAAAAAACTTAGTAAAATGCCGAATTTTGTGGAAATCTCTTGAGCCGTTCCGGAGATAACTTGTAACATCCATCCATCCGCCTAAACATACACATATTAGTAAAATTAATAAAACTATAAGAAAGGGAATAAAACTATAAGTTAATATTTCAATTTGTGTTTTAAATATTTCCATTATTATCATCGTTCAAATTATTTATTTCATTATACTCTCCGATACGAATATATAACTATCGCATTTTACTAAAAAAAAAAACAATTTGCCTCATGTTAGTAAGTGCTTTTATTTAATCACTTTAAGTATTTATAGTTTTTATTGGCGTTGGTCCAAGTTGAAAGCAGTATCGAGATGGAGGCAACATCAATAACTATTGTCCAGCAAACAGATCGATCATGTTGTGCAAACTTCGTCACTCGCTACTTCCACACCCGTTAAGTTTCATGGTGAGATGTAATATGTACATTTAATGCC